GGTGGAACAGAAGGAGGGACAGAGGTGGAGTGAATGTTAATGAGTATAAACCAAAGTGTATAAATGTGGGAAAAAACTATTGTTCAAGGCTGCTCCTTTGGTTTCACGGGCTGTCTCTGTGAGGGAGCTTGACCGAAGCTGACTCCATTCTGAATAAAGCTGTTGTGAGCAATGTGTGCTGGTGTTTGCTCCCTGCTTGCTCTGGCTAATGAGTAACAGGATCCATGAGCAATTGGATCATCGTCTCCCTGGCTGTTGGGCACCACATGGAGTCTGGGTCTAACAATAGCTATTAAACAGAACAGTCAGAGATGTATCCTTGGACATCTCTGAAAGGCTGCTGGTGGATGTGAAGAAGAATATGCTGAGACAGATCATTTGATGCACCCTGTTCAGTGCTGTCCCTCTAAAGCATCCATTTCTACCACTGTCAGAGACAGGATCCTAGGGTGGATGGACCACTAGTCTCACCCAGTGGCGCTTCATATGTTCTTATGACTGAGCATATAAGGATGTACAACTCAGTCCGCTCAAAGTCTGGAGTAATTTCTCTCAGGGACCACAAGATGGCACATGAACGTTTGGTCCTGCAACCACTTCTTTCAGGCTAGTTCTGAGGGTCAGGATTTAATCTGGTCACAAAGAAGCAGCCAGTCACTCCTGAGACTTGGGTATCATGGAGGTGGACACACTGCATAGGAGCTTGAGAATTAACTGGAAATGCAGGGTCAGCAGAGGAACCATAAGTCTGGGAACCAGGAATTCCTGTATCCTGATCTTTACCATCAAGCCCCAAAATCAAACCACAACAAACTGCTCTGACACAAGCTGGGCTGTTGCAGCTGCTCATGCATCTCTAGATTTAGGCTCAGGCCCTCATACTCAGTTTTTCTAGTTGTAAATCTAGCCAGAAACAGCTTCCCTCTCTCTCTTTTTTTGCTCTGTAGTGGGGGCTGATGGGTGACAGTGAGGGGCCTAATGGCTGGAGGCACTCTGGGTCACTCCATCCTAGCTGAACTCAGTCTTACCTCAAAGTCGTTCCCTTTGTTGTAATGCATGTTGAGAGCACGGAATAGCTCACAGTTCCGGGAAACCATCAGGTCTTTACAATCTGTGACTCCCTCCAGGATGGCTTGTCGGGCAAACTTCTCCATCTGGATGTAGTAAAACTCACGAAAGTTACTGAACCACTTGATGAGCTGGGAAGTGATGCAGCGGTTGAACTGTGTAATGAAAGACACCAGACAGGCAGGGGTTAAGTGTGCTCTGCTGGACAATGTGAGAAGAAACCACATTTTAGTGAAGCAAAGGCACTAAAGAAGGGAAAGACCTGATTGCACCAATATGGCAACAGCTCTCTACCCCAGAGCTGCTACACCTGCCTCTGGAAAAGTAATCAAAAATCAAATGTTCTTCTGTTAACAGAGTGGAAAAAGTTTTGCCTGGACGTTTTCTACAAGAAGCACTGAAATGTGGCATTATACCTGAGCCTCATGATTCTTACAAAGAGGTTCAATGTGGGAGTTAATCAGCAAACTGGGAGGGAGTTTCAGTCCAAGTGCATGGACTACAGATGATGCCCAGAGATTTTAGGTTGGAATTTTTTCCTTTACCCATCAGCTCTGGATAAAACTTTCCATCAAGCTAAACCCCAAGCCCATCATCAGGGACAAGGGTACAAATATACCATAGCTGGTGGGGCTGTTGGACGCTTGTCCATACTTAGTGTTCCTTCCCATTCTTTCCATCACCTGGTTCTACCCTAGCACATACACGGCTTTTTTGAAACAGCTGCTGCTCATTGTTTAGCTGGCAAAACAGAAGGCCCACAAAGAAAATAATGTGTTCATTATCAACCAGCTACTAGGGGTTGCTAAAACATCAGATGGGAGCCTGTGACAGTGCAGTACCTATGTCTCTACAGATAGTACCTATGTGACATGTGGAAGATGTAATTGTAGTATAGCTAGTTACAATGTAACTTAGGTAGCTCAGGTACCAGCAACTGTGAAGACTTGGCGGTGCAAACTGTAAAAGCCTGCCAGGTGGCCAGCCTGCAGAGAGTTTATGCTGCCATGTCATTACTGCTGTTGGCAGTTGAGCTAGCTAAATTAAAGTGAGCATGAGCACAGTTCCCTGTGCCCATCCTGACTGTGGTGGAGACGCAGCATAACCCTGGGTATTGGGCTGATTAAACTAGTGACCCTTGTAAGGTGGCAAAGCCAGGGCAAGTATCTTTACCTGGACATCAAGAAAGTAGGTTTTCAGCAGAGTGGAGCTGGGATATCGAGTGAAGAAGAACATCAACTTGGCCTTCTTCAGGTGGCCAGGGGTCAGAGCCTCTTGGATTTATCCTGGAGTCAAGGAAAAACTTTCCTGTTTCTATACACATGCAAAGATCTACTGAATGTCCCCCTGGGGATGCTTACTGGCTCCCTGCATTCATCTTCTCTGTTCAGATACCCTAGTCACTGCTACTTGACAATGGGACTGGAAGACAAGTGCTCCCCAAGGAGCTGCAGTCTAAGGGAGGTCCTCTAACTATCTGACACCCATACAGACTTAATTACTGAACACTTCTTCCTTCAACAGTCCCAGCTAAAGAAAGGAATCCCAGCTGAGGGAAACCCTCTCCCTTGCTGTAATGGGGACTTTCATGGAATAGTGTTTTTAGTTCTAGGACTACAGGGCCATCAACATCTAAGATGTGGTGTGAGAATGGTGTTAGAGCCAGGAGTTTGTGGGATCCAACTGAGCTCAGTGATTGACTTCCCTTTGGACTGGAGAAACTCACATCACCTTTATGTCCCAGCATCCCCGTGTAAAATAAAGACAATAACATCCATGTATTCTTCTGCAAAAGGGTTTGTGGGAATCAATGTATGTAAAGCACTTGGGAATGTGGTATAAGCTGTAAATGCCAAGAAGCAGTTCAAAGGAGGCCTTATGCTCTTCAGGCTGGGCCAATCTCAAGGGAGAAGTGGTCACTATTGGGCGCTCTGCTGAAGCACAGGCTCCTTCAGGCCCAGTACTCAGATGCTACAGCAGGGGTTGGCAATGTTTTGGGGAAAAGTGCCAAAAAAACCTCAGGAATCTACTTGTAAGATGTTGGTGTCCCAGGAGCAGATGGCAGGGAAGCCATGAGGGGCGCAATCCTTCTTGTGGCAGTGCAGCCCTGGTCTCTTCCCTGCCATCTGTTCCAAGGCACACCTGCACCTTCCACCAACAATGAGTCAGGCCAGGACTCTGCAGACACCAGTACAGCCACTTGCAGTCTCTTGGCTGCCAGCCACAGGCAACCCAGGCTCTGGGCAAGCCCCTGCTGTCTACCACAAAGCCTAGGCTGCTCACAGCAAGTGGCAGGGAGGCTCCAAGCAGCTGCATCAAGGCCCACAGAGCCCCAGCTTGGCTCGTTGCTGGTGGCAGGTGTGCGCACACCTCAGAGCAGATGGCAGAGAAAGGGCCTAGGCTGTGCTGCCACAAGAAGGATTGGGCTTCTCATAGCTCCCCTGCCGTCTGCCCTGAGGGCTAGCATGCCAAGCCAAATGTCTTCATGTACCACTCTCTGACATCCATGCTGGGGGTTGCTGACCCCTGTGGTACAGAAAGATATTCCTTGGACCCTTTTAGGTGAGCAATGCCAACTAACAAAACCATCTCTAGTCAGCCACAGAAAAAGAGAGCTGAGCTCTGAACAAAGCACAGTACTAACTTCTTGAATGAAAGAGAGAGTTTACATATTAGGCCTTCATAAGGATTCAGATGTGTATAGGCTACCCAGGTCCCTTTCCTAATACTATGTGAAATTTGGACATGTTCTCCTAGCTTCTTGCTCTAGTATGCAAAACCAGAGCTCTTAGTTTGGTCAGGTAAAACAGAAGACTATTACCCGTGTGTTTGTCAGCAATCAGCAGCTATTGGCGCTAGAGGCTCTAGCTGTCAATTTCTGATAGTCATTAAAGGATATATGGATTGAGGAGAAGGGCATCCCATCCATGATACTCTGCAGATCCCTGCATTCTGCTTTGCCAGCTGAAAGAAAAGCCAAACTTTCCATTTGAGTGGAGTTGGGTGATGTAGGATATTGCTGCTGTCTCATGACTGATGACCTCAGTTTGACTGGTCCCCATGGTTGGTCTAGAGATGCTGGGGAAGACCTATCTGGAGAAGAGGCAGTCCTGCTGTTCCAATGGCCAGTTTGACCATACCCTAGCAACTGGTTAAGAATCTGGTTTTCTTGAACTTGAGATGACATGAGCAACGGGTAACCCATGCTAGGTACTTGGCAGGGTTTTCTCACCCCTCTTAAACTTACTGGATAAGCTGGAAAGTCTGGAGACTTCTCTAAGACAAGTGACAAGGCCTCAGTCTGAGCTTCAGCCAGTGAATTCACCAAATTCTGGGAGGAAGCTTTAGGAAATTGTTTTTTCCTAGAGCATTCCACAGAAGCAAGATGCTCTCTTCTGTTGTCTGTTGTAGCCATGGGGAGGCTATCATACATTTGAGAGAGATGGCCTGGGAAGCTGGAAAAGATCTTTTTCAAAACAGAGTCCACTGCCTGTGACACCACTCTGGCCAGCTCACCCTTTAGTGTCTCAGAAAGGGTTCTTTCTTCAGAGGACAGGTCACCTTTAATGACTATTTTGCTTTCTTCCTCTAGCACTTTGTGGCCTTCCATCTCTGAACTGCTCCCGCAAAGAACTTTGTGCTGGTCTCTGGTGAGAGCCTGAATGCTTTTCTCCAGACTGTCTCCATGCTTCTCCGTCAGTAAGTGCATAATCTGCTCTGCCCCTTCTCGGGTTTGATCAGAGTCATTGAGCTCATGAACCTGGAAGAATTTCTCTTGGAGTTGCCTCAGCTGCTGCTGCAGAACTTGAAGCTGTTCCTTTAGGTAGTGGTGCTCTTCTGCATTGGCGCTAATCCCCACCAATTGTGCCACATGTGGACTCTGCTGCTGGGGCAGCTTTTGCTTTCTTTTGTTCTCCCTACAGCTCTCTGTCCTTTTCTCTGTGTTATGTTCTCTGTCTCTTTCTACACTAGTGCCAAGTGCTATAGGGTTTGGTGAGAGGCTCATGCCTTGGATAATGCTTTCCACTCTGGCCCTCTTGGCACGTAGGTGTTCATTGCCAAACTGGTCTTTGTCACCAAAGCAGAAGATGGGAGTGTGGCTCAAGGGAGGAGCCAGGGCTTGTGTTCCTTCCCTAGAAGATGAGTCTTCTCCATCTTGATGAAGCAATTCCATTATCCGGGAAGAAGGGTAAATGACTTTTGGATCCTGTATCCTGTTGCCTATTGTCTGGCTGAGGAGCTGTGGTAGGTTGGGCACACTGGGAGAAGAGAACAAAGAGTCTCTTTGGAGACTGGGTTCTTTTTCCAGCACACCTGGGTGTCCTAAACTAGTAACTTCTCCATCCTGCTTAGAGACACTGCTCCCATTCATAGCCTTTGTTGCCTGCTTTTGAAGTTGAAGACCCAACACTCAACGATAGGAACTGTTTGGGTGACAGTATTGCAAGACAGAGACAAGGTAGGATTTGGCGATTGCAGTCTCACGAGGTGTTTTGTGTTCCTGCTGCTCAGAGATCTGGAGCTGAGAAAAGAGCAAGAAAAGTTACCATTGAGCTCTAATATAGCAGCTCTCCACTTACGTGGGAATAGCTTTTTCTCCCAGATTCCTTGTGACAGCCCTGCTCATCTCCTGAAACCCGCCACATCAAGGAATGACAGGTGCTGAAAACCTTCCAACCAGCTCAACATGCGTGAGCATACTTGCCACACAGCCTAAGACAACATGAATGCACTGTGCTGATGCCTGGGACTGTGAAGTTGTTTCCATTCAGAACCAGATCATTGGTCCTAAATTCAAATGGTTTGAAGCCACATCCTCTCTGCAACCAGGACTTTCAGTAGTGCCTGCTTTTCTATGGAGCTGTTGGCTGCAGGAGACAGAGCTTTCTTGGGAGCCAGTCTGTGGCTTGGATTCATCTTCCTTCAAGAAGTTAGAATGACTGCAAACCTATCTTGCTTCTGTCTTCAAGATGAAGATAATCTCCTTTCCAGATCTTCCCATTAATAAATGTAATACAATGCACACCTTTATCTCCCACTGAGGGGAAGAGAAGTCAAGGGAATGTACGTAGTGTAATGCCTTGAGAGAGATAGGAGATGGTAATAAATGGAATCAAAGCTCAACATTGGTCAGGCTACACATTCCCACACTGAACTCCCATACAGTGGTGATACATGGAGTATAAGTACCCAGATAGACTGTGCAACCAAACACTGTCTACCCAAGCATAAGCCTAGATTTGATGTCCATAGAGCAGGAGTAGGCAAAATCCAGCCCACCAATTGATTAGATCCAATTCCAGCCTGCAGCTGCCCCTGCAGTAGCATGCATGAGGCCACGCCCAACCTCTCTCACCCCGGACAGCCCACACTGCATTTGATGGCCCTGGCCTTGGCCCCAGCCAGCACAGTGTTGCTGCTACAGGTGCCCAGGTACTGCCCAGCTCCCCCTGGCCTCCAGCAGCTCCTCATCTTTCTGCCCCTGCTGCACTGCTCTGGGCAGCAGGTAGCACGAGGAAGCAGTGGGGATGTGTGCCAGCTACCACATTTATTTTTATTTTTTTAAGGAAAATTTTTTATGTCCCAGGTCAAATTAGCCAGATCAGGTCCAAATCCATTTTGATCATGCTAGAACCGTATGTGGCCCTGCTACTGGCAAGTATCTTTCACCCCAACCTGGGGCTTCAGATACATACAGATCCTTTGGCAGGCATCCTACATACAGACCCAAGCCTGGAGGCTTGGGGTTCTGATGCCCCTGAGTTTCACTTGCCCTCGGCCATTTGGCTGCAGGAGCAAGCTAGGGAGGAGTCTCCTATTTCCATAAAGTTGGCATGTAGCTGAGATCCTCCCACTGGAAGCTGGCCAGTGGGAAGCTACCTATGAGGCTTTCCTAGGGAGTTCTGTCTGCAAGCAGACAAGGGTGTACCCTCTACTACACAGTGCCATTCTAATTGCATTACCTTTGTCAGGGTATTCTCCTGCCCGGGAGTGGGGGAGGCCTGCAACTGGGCAACTTCTGCTCCAGCTCCTGGCCACCTTCCATCCATTCCTCCTGCCCTGCATGCTGAGCAGCTACCTGTGGGCATGGCTGAGCGGGTGGAAGGCAGGCCCACTGGGAAGCTATGCATGCTGACTAGGGCTGGGGCCAGGGCTGTGCTGTCAGTGGGTGCTGGGTGGGTGCAGGCAGGAGCATGGCACAAGCTGCCCCAGGCAGGACTTGGCCCCATGTGGAATGCCACGGGGCAGCCGTGAGTCAGACAGGGGGAGCAATGGACTGTACCTGCACCGCACTGGCCGGGTGAGTTCTGCTGCATGCGCCCCCTGCCCCTCCACCCCGGCCAGCTCCCAGAACCTAGCACGCAGGCAGCCCCCCACACACATGCGTACACACCCACCCCTCCACACACACACTCCATACACCCCCCTGACACCCCTCCCCACACACAGTATAAAAGAGTAAGACATTATCTTGAGCTATTATGAAATCACCTCTATACACACTACTCAAAAAAACATAAGTCGGGACAAAAATATTTTTAAAAATATAATTAGGTTGTTATAGTAGATGTGTGATTTTTAGATATGATTTTTTTATGTATAATTTGTTAAAATTATATCTTCTGAAGATTTTGTGTGCAGCCCTTGACTGCTCACCAAAACTCATTAAGTGGCCTGCCAGCCAAAATAATTGCTTACCCATGCCATAGAGCAACCCCTAGAGGATTTTAGGTGCACATGCACTATCATCCACATTATCTAGCGGAGAAGGCTCAGCTCTGCCTGAAAAATAAAAAGGATTACATGTTCCATTCAGCTGCTCCTCAGCACAGATAAGCAGCTGTGGTTCGGGCACTTTGGCTGCCTGCTTCTGCCGACACTGGGCATTGGAGCACAGAGGAACACAGTTGTTGCCCAGGTAGGGTAATTGTGAATGCAGTAGACTCAAGGCACCCCTTGTTAGATTCAAGGCGCCTCTTGGAAAATATCACCTCTTTCCTTTCACTTTTTACAATAGAAAAATAACAGAGCAATTCTTCTGGTGCACAGTTCTCAGAAACACCAGCAGGTCAAAGTGGTTCTGATGCTATGTATTCCTATTTGAAATGTCTGGGTGTAGTATGTGCAGATGCTGGCAAACCTAACAATGCTAATACAATACGGCAACCTGCAACACCCTTAAAAGGATCTCATGGCCATGACACCCTAGCTGAGAATCACTGGCATAAAGCCTACACACCCATAAGCAAGGCTTTTCGTGGCATCTGGCATACATAGAGGAATATAACTGATAACTAGGAACAGGGAGGAGTTACAGAGCCGGCAGTGCTGGCAAAAGGTTTCAGTGGTGCAAGAGCAATGAAACTCTTGAATACTCTTTGCTGTCATCAGCATAAATTAGAACTAACAGGTCTGTGCAGTATTTTGTAGTTTATTTTTACATGTTCGTTTTTTCTTACAGAAAAATATAAGGAGGGGGTTGGGGGTTAGCTGAGGAAAGCACAAGCTGTTGGACTGGCTGACAGGAGAAATAGGAGTAGTACGTCCCGCAGTCTGATACTCTGTCTCTGAAAACAGCCAGTGCAAGAGACCTTGCAAGACTATCATGGAATAAACCTTCACTGGGGAAGTTCCTTTCTAACCCTGATCACTTAATGGCTAGATCAAATTCTGAAGCAGGAGGGTTTAAATCTCCTCTGCACATGCTTAAATCATGCCTAATATCTCTGAGATTGTTCTTATTATACTTTTGGAAATGTTGCAACGGTCTTGCTCTCAATGTTATCTTGTAGTAATGAGTTCCAGGGGTTCATTGTCATTATTCTATACAGGCATTATTCTGTACACCTCCATCATGTCCAGTCTTATTTATCTCATCTCTATGTTAAACGTCCCCATTATTTCCATGTCTCTGCACAGAAGTCTGATTCTGTCCCCCTGTCATTTTGTTAGACATCTCTGAATCCCCTCTGCTTCCATGCTATGCTTTTGGGATATGGTGCTCCAGAACAGTACAGTGCCCTAGGAGGGGGAAAGCCCCTGATTTATATCCGATTGTTTATGCAGACTAAAAGCTATTTGCTTTTGTTACCTGGCACTGCAAAGTGAACAGGGATTTTACTGAGCTATCTGCAATGGCACCTTGGCCTTTTTCCCTACATGTTGACAGTTCATTTAGAATTCACCGATGTGTGTAATTCCACTGCGTCATTCCTTCCAAAGTGCAACACTGCCTTTGTCAGAAGTCAGTTTTATCTGCCTTCCTGCTACCTGGTCACCTGCCTTTAAAAGGCTGCTCTGTAGTTTTTCAGATGTCTCAAGTCTTGAGGAACCTGTGGTTAAACATTTTGTATCACCTACAAATGATGACACTTCTCTGCCCTCCCTCTACCTCACTTCATTAATAAATGCATCAGCCATTCTAATATATTATTTTGGGAGTCCCTTTGCCATGCTACAAACTAACCATTTATCTGTACTCTTTGTTTTCTGTCTCTGAGCTGGTTTCTAGCAGTCCATGAAAATACTCTACTTTTCACTCCATTACTATATTGTTTTCCTGTCAGGGACAGCCTCCTGTGAGGGACTTTGTCAGTTTTTTTAAAGTCTGAGTAAATGACACCACTACATTCTCTTACCCTTCGCCCCAGGCTGACCTGCACTATTTTTCCAATACTCTGAAAGTAGCCTATTGATTGGAAGGGTTTTACAGAAGCTCTGGTTGTTTGTCCCCATAATGTGATCATGTGATGTATATAATGCCATCTATCTGCCTATTTCAGCCATTTCATTTTCAAGCTCTGGATGGCACTAGGAGCCTGCTCTTTAACATATTTGGTGCTTCCCTTTGGCACTTGGCTCTCTCAGAATGCCTCATCTTTTTCATGAGAAAAGTGAAGCTGAAGGATTTCTCCAGATTAAAGCTTTAGACACCAGGGTGATAAACTCCTCCTAGTTACAGCAGGTAGGTGTGGGCTTGTCTATGAACTTTAAGCTTTGACCAACAATGCCAGCTTTTCCCAGGTACCCAAGTTGCTCTTGCTCCCCAGATATTTAGATGGACTGAAACATTGGGCTTGATTTCAGTCCATTTTTCTTCCTTCCGGAAGACTCCTCAAACTACATTGTGTTCCTCTGGAAGGGAGAAGGTGTTCTTAATTCAAGTAGTCACCTTTTACTTGCTGGATCCATGAATAGATGGGGCAGGGCTGTATTCTGAGCCCACTTTGCATCCCAGGAGCACTGGCTTGGGGGAAGGGGGATTGGGTGTTTGCCGAGTAGTCTGAAAGGGCCCTTTCTAGCTGGGATCCTTTGTTTCCTTCTGTCTTCCTGGGGCCACAAAGCCTGCCCTCATTTCACTCTGTGATTGAACAGCTCTCTGGACCTGCACCCATGCCCCTTATAGGTAAATGGAACCAAAAATTCCTTAAGAGCTGCATTGTAGGGATGAATCCAGGGGCTGGAAATCCCTCCCCACACCCACGTTTAAAAGGCAAGATGAGAACTTTCAGCCCCCTCTATGGCAGCTGTTGGTGCAGCATGCACCACATCTGAACTTAGAGACAGGATGTGCTCTGTGCCCCACCCTGCTTGACAGGCATAGGCACTTGCAGTTAATGCACACCCTCTTTGACATTCTGCACTTTCCTCCTCAGTAGAGAATGCTGCTGCTTCAGAGCCCAGAATAACTGTTGCATCCATGAGCTCCACTGACTGATGCAATGAATGGCCTCATCAGCTCTGCTCATCAAGGCAGCCTCAGGTACCAGGGGACAAGTGCAATGCTGTGTAAGAGAAGTAAAGAGTAATAGTCTCAGGCCAGTGTCCCTAGCCCCTATAAGGCGTACAGCAATGTTAACAGTCACTTCTGCTCCTGTCAGTGTTTATGGCAATAGAGATCTTCTCATGTGGGCTCTCAGGTACCATCTCATTGAGCCCTCAGCTCCTTTGCCAGATGTATTAGTGAATGTTGTAAAACACCTGATTGATGCTGAGTGTTACTAGCAGTTATCATCAGTGGCCTCCTCAGAATCATTAAAAAGGAGCAGGGTTCTTTTACAAGAAGGAAGAGACAAACAAATGGAATAAGACTCCTCAGAAATCTGCAAGCTAACCTTCTCTGAGAACAGACTCTTCAAAGCCAGACTCCCCCAAACCCTGACATCCTGACTTCCCCCAAAACCTCAGAATTGTTTTTCTTAAACAGACATTCCCCATAAACTTCTCCAGCCAGCCTCTAAAATCCTTCTCAGAAAAGCCAGGTCCTGCAAAATCTTGCTATCAAGAGATGCCCCTGACTTCCAGATTTCCCAGTTTCCAATGAACAGCCA